TTTCGTAGCCAATATTCGCATTTCGCGGATTCCCCAAATTTCATAAGACTGATATAACTTTCTCGTTTGCAATCATGGTTATATAAAGTTTGAATAACAAAAAAATATATACTATTATAAAATATGTACTATTTTATAATTTGCCCAATATTCTTTTTCTAATGGCTCAGAATTTCCGCTTTAAGGTTTTGATGAAGAAATATTATTAGACGAGGCAAGTACTGTTGGTTATTGGGAACATTTTGATGTACGAACTATGAAAATATCCCCGTCTCAAAAGGTATATTATTGCGACTCTTCGATGCAAAGTTCTAAATCGTTTGCAATTTAGCCAGATTTTGCATAAAATAATAATGAATAATTTGCATTTAAGCGATCTATATACCTACAGTAATATTCGCTTTTTATTTTCAGTATGTTGCATTCATTGCGGATATTTCAAGAAACGATACTTATTGTGGCATTTTGATTGACACTGTGGAAAACCCAGGAAAGATTGTGGAACAGTTACCATGTGTTAATATAGGTACAAGGATTGGAAAATCACTCACGAAGACTATTCTAAATGAATGGAAATTTAATCGATTGACATTGATTATCTGATGCAGATTTCATCTTGATTGCAAGAGTTTTTAAAATTGTATACAAAAGCATCTTTACAGATATTTTATATATTGGCTATTCTTGAAATATTTTCACATAAAACAGTAATATTAACAATAACCTGCAATTATTTAACAAGGGTAACAAATTACAGTTTTCACTGAAAAACCTGTGGCCCTTGGATTACCACATGCATGGCTTTATATAAATCTTGAAGCCAATTCAAGCCATGTTCGCTTTTATTTGCCGTTTTATTCCATTTTTGATCGTGGTGAGACTTTTTCGTTTTTTTCCAAACTGTGGACTAACAAATTAAGAATGGTAAAAAATTCAAACAATGCCAATTACATCGATAAGTATTTACATAATTATATGTTTAAAAAAATGATTATATTTTTGGTTTGAATAATTATATATTCACAAAACTTTCTATCTTGTCAATAATTCCGCGCGTGAATATAACCACATTCTGATGGTATTGATATATAGGAACACGCGACATGTTATACCGATCCCTGTCACAGTTTTGGTATTATACCGTATTACATAATCTTAATTGAACCAAATCTCAAAGTTTTTTCCAAATTTTTCTAGAGTGGTCTGGTGTTGATAACATCTTGTATTATACTACATTCAATAACTTACACCGAGCAAACAAAGTATGGAAGCATGAAATCGGACAGGATACATCGAAAGACGAATTGATTTTTGAAGAAAACGACGCTAGGTCTGTGTATTGCAGTTTGAATATATTAATAATTGACGACTGATGCAGTGAGGCATTCGAATTTCTTATTGACGAGTAAGACTGTCAGGCATTGTTGTCAAAAATGCGCTCTTTGTTGTCGTTTTAAATATCTTATTTCTACTTTTTAGGTTTTTTGTTGATGTGAGCTGTACAAAAGATGGTCGTTTTGTAACTATCAATTCAAGTTCGAAGACGACATCGGAAGTACGTTGCTTTTAAGAAATAGAAAACGAGTCGCCTTGTTTTATAAGAGTTGTAATGCAAGGCCATGCAGATATGGCGGAAATGGCGAGGGAGCCGGAGCGGTCTAGCTCACGGCCCCATGGAATGTTAGGGTTTATAACGTACCCCCTCACCTTTAATGTCAACTACGCATGACATGTGCATGTACGTACCGCATGTGTATCAGTGTATTTATGAAGAACTGTCTATTACTGTACAATTCATCTAATTTTGCCCGTCATTACATTTCTACAAAGTTTTTTTTGAAACATTGCATTAAAAGGGTACTTGACACGGAGACGAATGGCTATTACTGTTTCAGTTTTACAGAAAGACGTTCTTACAACGTGTATACCCTAAACAACGCATAAAAATGTGTCAAATTTTCACTTTGACCTATCATTTAACCTTTCCCAACGGGTTGTGCATATCTTTTCATGGAAGGTGCAAATCGATCTCAGGGTAGGTGCACATGCACATTTACACCCCTCCCCGATCCCCATCCCTCTCCTCTCTACCCATCCTTGATATTCCTTTTTTAAATTTCTTGGGTTTTTTATCTCACTTCCGTAGTCTGGTTCACGTGACCTGCAGGAAAGTTCATGGTCATGTTTGACCACAACGTTCTTGCTAAAACAACCAGACTATATGTTTGGTAGATATATAACTAGGGGCCCCTGATATGTATCCATCTAACATATCTGTAGTCGGGTTAATTAAATCAGGAAGTCCTGGTCAAATGGACTAGTCTATAGTAGAAACATATTAGATTAACCATTAAAAAGTGGCAAGGAATATTAAGTTATTCCTATTTATTACGTTATACAAGGAATATCTCAACCGGATTGTTTTAAGAGTGTATAGTGTTCATTTAACAATCGATTAATTTGAGTATATTTATGTTTCAGGTTTATATACTGGATTGTGGCGATACCAAAGCTTCTGCGCAACTTGTACAAGCGAGGGAACCTGGTATCGAATATTATGTAGAGCACTGTCATGATTTGTTTTATATATTAACCAATTACCCTGACGGCGGAAATTATCAAGTAAGTAATTTTGTCGTAATCCGTGTTTCCTGTTCCTTTGGAAATGTTAAAGAATTTAAATGTGATCCTGGCCAATATAAATGCACAATGAAGTGTAATAAACTTTTAAATGCAAAAAAAGGCTCGCGACTCAAACCACATGACACATTCAGCTTCATATAATAAGAGATTTTTGTTTTGAAAACAAAGCTATAGGAAGTTGTGTAGAAACATGCTGCCGTGCTTTGTGTCTGAACTACTTGAAAGAGGTTAGACGAAGGAGGTTGGGTACCTACAATCATAGCAAAAATTCCGTGGATACTTAATAAGTGTACACATGATGGTACCCCCCCACCCCACCCCCCCCCCATCTACAATGTTGGTTTTGACATGCATTTCACAAAGCTTTCACCTAACCAATTTATAAGCATTCAACATTGAACCTGGGGTGCGGGGAGGGGAGGGGAGGGGAGGGGAAAGTTAAAATTACTGTTTTGCATGTATGTATTGGGCAGTCCACAATAATTTTTGCCAGGATTGTACGTACAATGGACCCTACAGTGCGTTTACAAGCAGAACAATATATTTAAGTCAAGGTCGCAAAGTTTCACGGGATGCGAATAAAAAGTCAGAGCGATACCCATATGTGACGACCATCACTTTACACCTTTTTCGTAATGGATTTATCGTGAAATGGTTGTGAACAAGTTGTGGCAGGGATATAGCAGTAGTAAAACAGTAATACCACTGTCATTAGAGAGGTCCACAGTAATACCACTGTCATTAGAGAGGTCCACAGTAATACCACTGTCATTAGAGAGGTCCATATATTTATCAATATATACAAATAGCGGGGGAGAAAGCTGATAAATCAAGACTGCTCAAATAACAATCATGCAACGATGAACGAAGCTCGATCGCTGAGTTAAAGATTTCGTGGTCAGGAGACTTTGAATCACTCAAACGGTTTGTTAAAGAGTTGTTAAACATTGTCCGGACATGGTCTTCGCCTGGCGGAGAGAAAAAGTTATTCTCAAGCAATGATGTTAACATGCAATGGGGGAAAAAGAAATTTTTAGCTGTTGACGGTCCAGAGGCAAGTAAAGTTATTCGTTGTCTTTTAATTTTTATCGATAGTTCGTTCGCAGAACAGTGCTCCGATAACATTGGAGTTTCGTCTGATAAATGCCAGTGTACCGGGGTGGAAATGGAAGGTGTCAAGTTAGATATCGTAATTTTAGAAGCTAAATTTAATAAACAACTTGAAATATTACGCAACGAGATGGCCAGTCTTATCTCTAAGCCCGCTGATTTGGGCGAATCGTTTACTGAATCCACACAGAATGGGGAAGATATTTCCACAGAGTATCTTCAAAATGGCAAAATTCAGCGTTTAGAAGCAGACATTGCTATCTTAGTCAGAGGACGAAATTCCGAGGTAAATGAATTAAATAATCATGTTTCGCGCGCTACTCTGGTTTAAATAAATGATTACAAAGCCCAGTCGAATTGTAATCAAGACCCAACGTTTCGACACTCCAGTCTAGTGTCTTCATCAAGGGTGATCTAAAATTGCAACCGTGGCTTCTTAAATACCCAAGGGATGACGTCACCTGCCAATGAGATGCATATATTCCTCTGGCAAATAGGCACCGTCATCCCTATTCAAAGCATGATTACTCATATTTATATGCCACGCTTCTAGGCAAAGTCTTTGACCATAGCGATTGTTTGTGGTAATTATTTAGAGTTTTCCCACGCAATCCGCGAAACATGATTGATATACCTGGTTGCAGTGAACGAACAAACTTTGAATTAAATAATATTATTGACACTCTAAATTGAACTAATTGAAGCGTCAAATGTGGCCCTTAAACATGAAATTGTTGGCTTAAAAATTCTAAAGTCATCAAACCATTGTAATGATATGGGTAATTGGAACAGCGAACAATGCGATCACCAAAGTCTAGACCTCATTAATCAAGGGACCAAACAAAAACAAATGCAAAAATATGGTAATTTACTCAAAGTTTGGTTAATAATCCTGAAGGTTGCCTAAATGATAAGGCAACCATGCATGAAGTCTCTATTATGGTGAATAGTAAAGAAAGCACAAAAGAAGTCAATCATGTGATTGAGCAGCGACATATTCCATACCTGTCATCGGACACAATGCATAGTGAGGATTTTGGGAGGAATCTAACCCCTGAGTGGATTGGTAGTTTACCATTAATCGAAATTAATGTACCCAAGCCTTCTAATCGTACGTTTATTCGGGTTCAACAACAACAACAACAACAACAACAACAACAACAACAACAACAACAAGCTAGCCAAATTCAAAAAACCAGCCTAAAAGATCGGCAAGAAGTAAGCTCCCAATGCATGATCAAGCTAGCCAAATTCAAGCAAGCCAGCCTAAAAGATCGGCAAGAAGTAAGCTCCCAATGCATGATCAGGATTTTTTTGGAAACGGAAACGAGACTTAAATTGGCAAAATTACCTGACATTTGTTCGTGCGACAATGAGACGGTAAACACAATTCCTGTTATAATTTCGAAACGAATTAATAAGAAATATAATGTGCGATATCGACATAATCCCATCCGGCCAAATGATTTAATTAAAATTCCTATTAAACACTTGCCGGGTTCCCAACATACGTTCGTTACCTCCCTAATGCCATCTAATGGAAATCCCATGCCAACCCCCATTCCTCCATCAACTTTAAGTCAGGAAGTCAATCCTCTAAGAAATACAGTGACTAATCATAGAGCACTAAGAAAGGTCCCTTATCGTAAATCATACAACATCCCAACTGTTCTATCAGCAAATGTTAGGGGAATCGCAAAGAAGTTGACGAGATTCAACAAGTTTCTGAACTTAGTAATGTCAATGCAATATGTATAACTGAGACATGGTTGTCTCCAAATGCGTCAGATTCCTCTGTCGTTATCCCAGGTTACAATCTATTTCGGAAAGATCGAGTGAATACAACAGGAGGAGGAGTGTGCATTTATTTAAATAATACAATTCCCTGTAAGAGGCTAGAGCAATGTAACGAAGATGGAGTTGAATCTGTATGGATTTCAATGAGACCCTACTGTCTACCAAGGAATATAACATCCATAGTACTATCAGTAATATACCATACGACCTCTAATCGCGAATCTGAGAATATTATTCTCCGACAACATATTCAACGTAACCTTGACAACCTATTAGCTAATCAGCCAAATGCGCTTGTAATACTTACTGGCGACTTTAATCCAACGTCAACCGGATTGAAATCGAAAGATTTGACTCAAACAAATCATCTCAAACAACTTGTCACTTTTAAAACAAGGTATTCTGGTATCCTGGATTGGTTTCTGACAAATCGGACTAGGTTATTTGAATTGTCTCAGTTATCTAAAATTGCATCCTCCGATCATTTCACAATACTGGCGAAACCACTTCTAGGACCTAAGAAGAACAAAGTAACTAAAAAATTATTTCTCGTGATATGAGGGATAGTGCCTGGCGTGAGTTTGGTCGATGGATAACCCAGAAAGATTGGAACCCAGTCCTTAATACTTCCTCCTGTGAAAATAAGTTCCAACTATTCATCACAGAGTTAAAGCAAGGTGTCGATTGCTATCTCCCACAAAGGACAGTAAAAGTTCACCAAACAAGTCGCCCATGGATAACAAATAAACTCAAGATATGGATCAGAAAACGCCAAACCGCATTCCAAAGACATATATAAACACTGGAGGAATAAAATTCAAAGGGAAATTAAAGCGGCCAAGTCACATTATTATAAACATAAAGTTGCAGAACTGGGACAGACTAACCCCCGGAAATGGTGGAAACAAATAAAAAGTCTTATGGGACAAGACATTCAACAGGAGTGGCATTATCAATTTCTTGGTGACAATGGGAATGTTAAGATACTCGCAGATAGAGTCAATGACTTCTTCTTGAGCATAACTGAGAACTTTTCACCGTTATCGCCTCTTTGTCCAACTCAGCATGTCCCAAACGAGTTCCTTGTTTCTGAAGCAGAGGTTTATCGATCATTGTCATCTCTACAAGTAGCCAAATCTGTTGGACCGGACGAACTCCCAAAGAAAGTATTAAAGGAATTTGCTACGGAGCTTTCTCCAGTCATTCAGGATATCTACAATCAGTCCATTAAGGAAGCATATATCCCAGATTTACTTAAATCCTCAATTATATCTCCAATACCGAATGTAACCACACCACAATCAATTGAAAGCGACTTACGTCCAATATCCCTAACATGCAATTTGGCTAAAATTATGGAGGGATTTTTCTGTAGGAGACTTCTATCACAGCTGACACGAAAAATTGACCCCCGTCAGTTTGCTCGTAAGGGTCACTCCACTACGGATGCACTAATATTTTTGCTTGTAGCACGTCTGCGAGACGATGGATAGCGGAAATGCTTGTGCTCGTTACTTTTTTTGTCGACTTTAGCAAAGGGTTCGACCGTATTGACCATCATGTTCTCATGCAGGAGCTGATGGAATTGGATATTCATCCTGTCTTATATAATTGGATTAACACTTTTCTTTCAAATAGAAAACAGGCTGTCAGGATAGGGGGTACTTTGTCAGACTGGAAATCCCCAAATGGTGGTATACCTCAGAGAACTAAACTTGGTGTTATTCTTTTCTCGGTTATGACAAATAAGCTAATATCTAACTGGCATTTAATTAAGAACAAAGTTTGTCGATGACACAGCTGCGCTAGAGATCTTTCTCAGGAACTCAATCAGTTATCTGAACCATACAGTAGATGAATTACATCAATTCTCTATAAATCATAACATGAGTCTCAACCCACTTACATGCAAGGAGATGGTAATTAATTTTATGAATAATAACAACTCCATAATGAGGCCTTTTGTAATAGGCAGCAATGTAGTAGAAAGGGTAACCAATTATAAATTACTTGGAGTTCAATTGAGTGAGGATCTCAAGTGGAATAAACATGTTGATTATATCTACAAAAAAGCTTGTAAGAAGCTATATTCCCTCCGCGTACTTCGTAGAGCTGGCGTTGAGCAAAGGAAAATACTAAAAGTGTATCTAACTACTATCAGACCCGTATTGGAATATGCTGTTCCAATATGGCAAGCGATCTCTGACTACTTAAGTGAAAGGATAGAATCAATACAGACAAGGGCACTTCGAATCATCTTCCCTTCCATAGACAATTATAATGAGGCGATGATGATGGCACAGATACCAACATTGGAGAGCAGACGCGAACTGTTATGTAAAAAATATATGACTAAAATGAAGAAGGAGGATCATCC